CCTACCAATCGTCAGGTTCCAGTACTTACTCCTGCCTGAAGGCTGCCACCAAAGACTGGTTTCCAAAATTGGTAGGTGGACTTGCTGCAGGACGCCATACTTGGGACTGTTATTTGTCTCTTATTTTATTAACGAGATGGTGCCTTTGACTGATAGGCAATTTAAATAGAACCTCCCTTCTCATAAGGCACCGACCCCAGTATTCCCAATGAAAGGAGTAGGCCAAATGGTTTCCTAGAGTCCTGCATTCCAAGTGGTCAGACTTACCTCTAGTTGTGTAGTTTCCTCTAAGGGATGTTAAGTCTGTGCTGTCTGTGTGTCATTCTAATTTAGTGACAAACTATGATTTTAACGTTGAAATTCTTTTTTTCCTGTGTGGCTTGCTGCTGCCAATCTCTTTCCTTTGTACATTAATATTGGTGAACATTATTAGTTTGAATAAATTATATTTGCTAAATTAATGTGCAGTTTGTAAAGAATTGGAATTGCTGGGATGATTTGACGCAGAATTTGATAAAACTCTCTAAAATGGGTCTCTTGATTTTGTTGTTTTGTTAATTTCAAAGCCAAATTTCAACTGTTCATCTCATATATTCATATATAGTGTTTTCATCCAGGGTAAAATATTTGTTTGAAACTCTCCTGAGATATTACGGAGCGGAGAGAATCTCTCTGTACTATCAGTGAACAGAATGCTGCTGTTTTCATGAGCAGAGCATCATGGCATTCTTTGGGCTGCTGTCTCTTGATTTTCATCTGTCCTGTGTGAGTAGGGACAATGTGAGACTTGAGCTTATCCTATTTGACCTTGATTGAGTGCTGTCTGGAGAACACAAACTGTTTCTGTTTAAGCACAATTCTGCTAATTTGTATTTTTCTCCTTAATACTTTGGGGGCATAGGGAGGGGAAGCATTTGTACGATGACTGGGTCCCAGTTTCCTCAGAGTTCAGCTGCTCCCTGCTGCTCCAGTAAAGTCAGAATCTTCTATTTGCATTACAAGCCTTTCCAAATAACTCCATTCTGATTTAGGAAACCAAGAATCTGTTTCCATTAAATGATCCTAGGAAAGAAAGGAGGAAGGGAATATGCAAAACAATTGTGGTACAGCAGTCTTTCCCGAGGAAATAGTTTAGGCAGTTTTTTCCTAAATAGAGCAAAGAGCTCTTTAGAAGGCCTTTTCCTGCTGTTTAGAGTGCAACACTGCGGTAGCCAACCAGCCTTAATCCCCCTTATCCTGTTTTACCTAGGCCAAAATGCTACTCCTTCCGGGTCTGTTTAGGGATATCTGTTCCTTTAGGCATGTTCAATCCTGGGTGTGAATTACCATTTCTTCCAGGAGGTGGCACTGTTACCTTCCTTTCTAGGAGAGGAAAGTGCCCAGACGCAGATTGGAACAGACAATGCTGTAGCCTTGGGTTGTCAAACTTTTTAGTATAGATAACATATGAAGAGAGACTATCTCCCAGCCACCTCCCTTCTCATTCACAGTAGGATGAATTTCCCCTCTGAATATGATGACATCATAATACTATACTTGCTTATAGGGAAAACTAATATCAGTACAATATGTAATAGCTAAAAATATCTCCTATTGCAGTTTAGCAGCTGAAAATAAGAAATGCTAGCACTATGTGACCATTCGCTCCGAAGACCACCAGCAACTGCTGAACGGACCACAGTTTGGGAATCTTTGCTGTAGCCTTATTAAACACCATCACTGCAGGCTCAGCTGACCTGGCATATGTTCAGAACAATTCTAATCCCATTCGTAGTGGTTTCAGGGCTGAAGCACGTAACCAGAATGATCTGTTACAATTTTCTCCAGTGTACATTATCCCATACAGTTTGTGAAGAGCCTGCTGCGTATATGTGACCCCAACTTCAGTAGTAATCTCATTAAACCATAGTTATTAGTTCAGATCTAGGATGAATAAACGATCTTTCCACTCTTAGAATATTGGTAATTTGGGATAGTCCACATCCAAGTGAGCCTCTAGATGGAAGGCTGTTTGTGATATTCAACCTTAATGTCTCCTTTCTGTCAGTACTAGTATGAGGGAAGGCTGAGTCCCATATGCACAAAGAACTGCAGGGTCTTGTAGGTTTGATTAGTGGGTCGGTAACATGCTGCCAGGAGAGTGACTTCACAATGGCTCTCAATCACATTTTTAACAGTCGATCTTCTTGAGGAAAATATCAGAGTCTCCTTGACTAGAATAGATATAAGGGAGAAGCAATGGAGGGCTGCAGTAGTCCCACTCATTAAAGAGGAAAGAGCTGCTGGCTACAGATACATATTTGTGAGACCTCCTGATCTAAGTGTTACTGTTATGTTTCCCATTCTCGTTCTTATCTGGAAACAGTACCACTTATCTCTTTATGGTCTAGACCAGCAATTCTCAAATTGTGGGTTGGGACTCCAAAGTGGTCCGGGAACCCATTTTAATAGGATTACTAGGGCCAGCATTAGACTTGCTGGGGCCCGGGATTAAAGCTGAAGCCCGGGCCCCAGAAGCCAAAACTTGAGGGCTTCAGCTCAGGGCAGTGGGGCTTCGGCTTTGCCTTCCTCTTCCCCCCGCCCCCAAGAGGGGGGTGTCATGGGGTAATTTTTGTTGTCAGAAGGGGGTTGCAGTGCAATGAAGTTTGAGAACTGCTGGACTAGACCATGCTGCATTGGTATGAAATGCTGTAAAGTGGGATTTGAAATATGTTTGTTGACAGGTCTGGATTCTTTGCCTCTGAGCACTTGAATTTATACTATATGTCAGTGCCTTTTATAGGAAAATTCAGTGCCTATCTGTCCTTGGTTGAGGGGAGCAGAGTCTTTTTAAATCAAAAATTGAGTTGGAAACGCTGAGACCCTCCACTCCCATGTCCTAAAGCCTAATTTTCACTTACACATAGTTGATGAATTCTCAGCAGTTCTTTGGCTTTGGAACTTTTACAACTCCACACCAGAGCAATGGCAGATGGTCTATTTCTTAATGAACCTTTTCTTTTGTACATTGGAGCTGAGGGGTTTTGCTCCCAGGGAGATTTTCTCCAACACCTGCTCCCTTTCTGGGGGTTGCAGTAGTGTCAGCAAACTGGATATTTTAATCCAGGCTCTGTAAGGTTTGGCAGGAAGGAGGCTTTGCAGAGAGTACTTATTGTTAAGACATCATTCTGTCTTCTAGAACTGTTTAAAAGCTTGAAAGTTTAACACTTGGAAAGATACCGATCTGTTAAAGCAGCTAAGAAGAGGAAGCCTGTTAAAGCATTAGATAATTATCTACTCTAAACCATACTATTGCTTTCTTTAAAGCAGAATTAAATAGGTGTGGCCACAAAGCAGTCTCTGCCTTGGCCATTGGCAGTGTCCAGCTACTCCAGCTTTCCCCCACAGGAGAATGTGTAGGGAATAGGCAGGGACACTGATAGTGGGGAGGGGAGAGAATGGAATGAAACTACAGCCTGTACTGTATTTTGTATCAGAGCAGAAAGTAGAACCAAGCTGAATATAGAGTTGAGATTAGTTCATCTAAATCCTACAATGATCCTTGTTAACCGCTTCACCTGCCAGCTACCATTGTGCCCAATGCCAGAGATGTTTGTCTCCCTGAAATCCATATGCCATCATTAAGAGTGTGTTATTAATGTCTTCCTCATCAGCAAAATCTCTGAATGCCCCACTTGGAAGCGGAGTTTAAATACCTGCTTCTCCTCCCCTGAGCTGTTTAAGATTTCTTGGGAGCTGCCACTTCATTAATTTTGTAGAGGACTCCCTCCCTGCTGAAAATGAGAGCAGGGTTGCTTAGCAGTGCTGTGGTGAGCAGGGTGGTAAATAGTAACTCTGGCAGCTGGCAGAGTGCAAGAAGTTACACAGGAAGGAACTTGACTTGTCAAGGGTGGCACTAATGGACCTCTTGTCTGCAGTATCAGCAGAAAGACCAAAAGATGTTCCTTGCTGAAGGAGAAGCTTGCGTACATGCCTGTAATATACTTGGCTAAATCCCAAGGGCCAGCAGTGCCTCGCTTACTGGCCCACTAAAGTCATTGTTCATACTCTAAAACATGTTCCCAGATTTGCAAATGTTGTTAGAATCTTTATACCTATTGTTTCTAATTCATACTTGCTGGTTTGAACCAATCTGTGGATGTGAAAGAGACTAACCATAAACACAGGCTTCTCATTTAGGATAACTAACAATTTCTTCCCTACTGTGGTAATGGGAATCCTCAGAGCTGTGCAGCTCATCCATACTGTACAATGCGAGCTGCTGCTTCCCTCTATTCAAAATGGAATGAGTGCCCTGCTCAATGGTCATGAGTGTCATAATAAAAGTATATACAATTAACGCTACAGAGAAAGTAGAGCAGGAGCTTCTGTTCTCCCTGTCTCGTAATACAAAAACAAGGGGACCTTCAATACCATTAAATGATGCAAAATGAAAAACTGATCAAAGGAAAGACCTTTTTACCCAGCGCATAATTAAACTGTGGAACTCATTGCCACAGGAAGTTGGTGAGACCAAGTAAATCGCAAGATTCAGAAACAGATTGGAGTAATATCAATGACAAGAGCATCCCTAGTTGTTATACTTAAAGCTAACAAACGTTTTGGAAAGGATATAAAACAATATGCTGAGGCCTTGAACCAATCTCCAACTATTAGGGATCAAGCTGAGACCTTCAATGGGCACAGATTATCCCACATCTGCCTACTGCAGATTTCTTGTACCTTCCTCTGAAGCATTTGGTACTGTCAAGGGATAGGTTACCGGACTAGATGGACCTTGGGTTTGATCCATTCTGGAAATTCCTGTTCTCTTTGAAATGCTATAATAGGTGTGGAAGAGCAGGCCTGCATTGATGCACATTATTGTCTTTGACCCCCTTGTTTGCCCAGGTGGGGCCTCTAGGGCCCAGGAGATAGTTCTTAGTGCCCTGCTTTCAACTGCCAGATAATACAGTTGAGTTTTTCAACATATCCTGAAATCACTTGCAAGAGTCTCCTAGTATTGAAAATATATTTAATGGCAGTGTTGAAGCCGTGACATGAACAATTGTCTGGGCTGCGCAAGAAGAGACAGGGAGCGACTGTGCTATAGACCAAGAAAGCAGGACAAATGATTTCCAATTTGACAGGTTTAGGTTATACAATAGATATTATTTGATATTCTTGAATTACACAGTCAGTCACAGTGCTGCTCACAGTGCCTCCTGGGATACTTTTAAAGCAAAAGAGTTATTAGAAATCTTTACTTTGCCACTAGCCCAACCCTGCCCCTTTTCCCCATTACGTTTTTCCCTCTTGTTTCCTTATGAAAGGGATTTACACATACCGCAAGAGTCACTCAGGTAGCCAGGTGCATCTCACAAGAAACAGACCCATCCGAGATTGTTCTGCAAGGGGAGGCTTCACCATCCTCCCAGGGGAGGATTCTACTACCAACATGACAAGGAATCCTTCCTGTCTTTGACGGGCTCAGTACGTTCTTCCTGCATTTCAAAAACACCACCAACAATTGCTTCCTCCCGCCCATCTTGATGAAAAAACATCAAGAATTTATCTGGCAGAAACAGGCAGCTGAATAAACAGATTCGCTTCCAGTGACTATAGATAGAAAAGATTGCAAAAGAATCTAGTATTTAGCACTAATCCTGAATTTCTCCACAGTCCTTTGGCCCTCCGGCTACAGCCTCCAGCACTCTGCACCATCTTTTGGAGCTGTGGGTGCACTTCCAGTTGAACAATGTCAAGTTATAGCAAGTGCTGAATTTATGATTAATCATGTAAGTTACTTAGAGACAGTGCAACCAAGGCGATGCTGCCAAGCTCTTCTGAAGCTCACAGATCTGGAATAATAAAATTAAGTGTCCATCAAACGCCATACACAGTATTTCTCAAAGGTTTGGAAATACTACATTTCTGATCATAACTACACTTATGACACTGATAATACCTCTTCATTCCAATACTTTCAGAGCTGCTCCATTTACAAATTAAACCAAGTGACCATCAGAGAGATGCTTAAGACAATAAAATTTGAAACATTTGTCAAACTGAAGCTCTGGGAGCTATTGGGACTGCAGAGATCAAACAAGCTGCCTTGGAATTTGATTTTTCTAGATTCCCTTTTCAAAGTCTCCCAGATACTGGCTGCCTCCTTCTGGCATTCCCAAAGAGCAATCATGGTGCACATGTGAAATTCATCCCAATACCTGTAGCCGAAGGAAGAAAGGAAGCTGTTAGTTCATTTAAAACACTACAGAGCAGAAAGACCCAAGACAAAACCTTTCTCCCCACTAGAAACTCTCAATTCAATTGGCCCCAACATTTACATTTGGTGCACTTGTTTGGCATGTGATGTCTATGTGTTCAGCATTGTATAATGCCTCAAGATACAGAAAGTCTTAGTCCTGAATTGCTTACAGTTTAAGGCCCCAATCCTGCAATGAGCTCCTCCAGTGAGAACTCCTATACCTCCTTGAAGAAAAGGAGTACTTGTGGCACCTTAGAGACTAACCAATTTATTTGAGCATGAGCTTTCGTGAGCTACAGCTCACTTCATCGGATGCAATGAGCTCACGAAAGCTCATGCTCAAATAAATTGGTTAGTCTCTAAGGTGCCACAAGTACTCCTTTTCTTTTTGCGAATACAGACTAACACGGCTGTTACTCTTATACCTCCTTGAGTTCAGTTGGATTCTGCACAGGCTTATGGCTCTACCTGCACTGAGAGAATATCAAGATCAAAGCCCTAAAGAGAGCAGAAGCCAGATGCACTGGTAAATCTGAGGGAGACTGACCCAGTGGTGGTTTTTGTTAGTGGAATCATAGGGTTAGGAGGGACCGCAAGGGTGATCTAGTCCAACCCCCTGCCAAAATGCAGGATTAGTTGGATTTGAACCATCCAAGATAGATGGTGACCCAGTCTCCTTTTGAAAACCTCCAATGAAGGAGCTTCCACAACCTCCTTAGGCAGTCTGTTCCATTGTCCTACTCTTCTTACAGGAAGTTTAGTTTTCTACCTCCCTGCTCTGGCATCATTAATCCCCCTTTGTGGGTCTCTCAGAGCTCATTTGCTAAAAACTAAAACCCCAAACTTGTTGAATTGTTTCTATGATTTTTTTGAAAGCCAATAAAATCCATTGTTTTTCATAAACTGATGTCCCCCTTCAGTGCTTGGAATTCCAACTCTGAGTCCCTGAAAGTGAAACAGATTAAGAGTAAATGTTTGACTGACTTCATTGCTCTTCTTTGTCCAAGCTGAATGATGGGCACAATGTAATCACAGACTGGGGGTAAGGACACTGGCTCCTGAAAACTTTCCGTTCTCTAATCTGGTGTCTATACAGAATGAAAGAAGAGTCCATAGTATTTTTTTTATGTGCCTCGGTTTATTTGCTTGATATCGTGCCTGAGTGAAAGGAGTTAAATCAAAGGAGGCTGTTAATGAGGTGTGGGGTGAGGGGAAGAAACAGGAAATTAAACAATGACAAAAATAAGATACGCTAGAGAGAATACCAAGGGTCCTGGATAAAACTATGGAGAATGTATTGGAGAATGCCTCTTCCTGGCTCCAACTAGACCAGCAAGGTTTATTCTTCCTATGCCGGAACCTAGAATCAAAGGGGGTTCTAAAGCCTTAAAGACCCTGGCCTAGGGAGGAAGGAGGGGTGAGCAGGCAGCAGTGGCTGGGGAGGAATCTCTGACAGGGAGAGACAGAGGATGCCCAGGGGCTGTCTGTCGCTCCCAGTGCTGGAGTAGGGAAGTCTGGGCTGAGTGAAACTTACCCAACACTGGAAAGGAAAGAGGGAAGGTTAGTTAAGACCCATATGGGCCTTTTGTTGTTTTACCCCTTCTTTCTGCATACTGTGTGCCTTTGGTGAATGCATAATGCTGTTTTGAAGAAGCTGGTTTTGAGTCACTTTAATTGGCTGCTGTTACTGGCCTCTGGAGGAAAAGGGTTTACAGGGCCCAGATATAACTGACATGTCAATACAGTTGGGAAACTGGGGGCTCCCACCAGGAGATCCAGCCCAAGAATGGCTGGACTTTGGGGTTCCACCCTTTGAAAGAGGTGCAGGAAGCCAAGCCTATCATCTGAAGGGTGCCCTCAAGAGGAACTAAAAGGGGTCCAAAGTGCATCTCGCCCTGTAACTGTGACAGTGTCATTTGTAGATAGGGTTGCCAACTGTCTATTCGCACAAACCCAAACACCCTTGCCCTACCCCCTGCCCTGCCCAAATGCCCCGCCCCTTCTACAAGGCCCAGCCCCACTCCCTCCATTGCTCACTTTCCGTCACCCTCACTCACTTTCACTGGGCTGGGGCAGGGGGTTGGGGTGCAGGAGGGGGCTCCGGGTTGAGCCTGGGGCAGGGGGTTGAGGTGCGGGAGGGGGTGAGGGATGCAGCCTCTGGGAGGGAGTTTGGGTGCAGGAGGGCACTCAAGGCTGGGGCAGGGGGTTGGAGTGTGGGCAGAGGTGCGGGCTCTAGGAGGGAGTTTGGGGGCAGGGGGTTAGCGTGCGGAAGGGGGTTCAGGGTGCGGACTCTGGGAGGGAGTTTGTGTGTGGGCTGGGGCAGGGGGTTGGGGTGCAGGTTCCGGCCAGGTGGTGCTTACCTTGGGTGGCTCCCGGAAGTGGCAGCATGTCCAGCAGCAGCTCCTAGACTCAGGGGCAGCCAGGCAGCTCTGCGCGGTGCACACTGCCCCTGACTGCAGGCACCGCCCCTGCAGCTCCCATTGGCCGTGGTCCCCGTTCACGGCCAATGGGAGCTGCAGAGTCAGCGCTCGGGGCGGATGCAGCGCATGGAGACCCTCTGGCCACGCCTCCGCCTAGGAGCTGCTGCCAAACATGCTGGCCGTTTCTGGGAGTGGCCCGGAGCCAGGGCAGGTAGGGAGCCTGCCTTCGCCCCACTGCACTGCTGGACTTTTATCAGCCTAAACTCTCCCAGATTGGCTTCAGTAGCCTCCGGGAGATCAAGCCCAATTCCAGGAGACACCCAACCAAACCTGGAGGGTTGGCAACCCTATCTGTCGAAGAGGTGAAGAGAATTTTTCATAACACGTGGGGCCCAATTCTCAGTTACATTATGGCTCCTTTATGCCTCTTGGACAACATAAAGGAGTAGGGGAATGCCCCCCTAAGAAAACCCTCTGTGCAGAGAGCCTCGCTGGCCAGTACAGGGGATCTATTCTGTCACTGAAGGTAAATAGGTACATCCACAGTCTCTCGAGCTATTAGACTGACGGTGAATTTTCCTCTGTCATGTTACTGGGTTTGCTGGCCATATTCTTCAAGGAGGGATTTGATGCACACATCTAGATGTCCCATGTCAATCTGGGAGATTGAGCAGACTATTTGGCTGGGGTCAGCCCCCCAAGCATGGGAAGACATCTTTTTACTTTTGTCCAAACCTTCCTTTCCTGGAGATGACACTATTTCTTCTTGAAGTATGGACATTAGTGCTTTACTTTTTTAATAGGATTTATGTCAGAACACCAGCTGCATAGAGTTCATTAAATAGAGCCAGTGTGGCAGAATAAATGTCCTGAGATCATAATCAGAAACATTGGTGCCAACCAAGGCAAGTTCTTGTGTTCATTAGAGTGCTTCACTCAGTACCCTGCAGCAGCTGAACAGGGAAACACAGCTTGGTCAGGTAGGGGTTAAAAATGTTCTCTCTCTTCAGGCAAAAGATTAAGTGGGGCAGGGGAGAGAGAATGTCAACTTTTAGTCATGGTTCTACTTTCAGCTGGGTGATCACAATTCCCACAATGCTTCACTCTTCACAGCCTCCATCTGTTCAGCCAGACAGGCTATGATCAAATGACTTGTCAGTGTTGGACTCTGGGGAAATACTGCACAAGCAGAACTGAAAAACAAATGCTGCTGATTTCATACTAGGCTGCCTTCCAAGGCATCAATTATTCTGATCTCCAGATCTGTCACTGACCTGTGTACCTCACTCCTGGAGAGAACATGGCACAGGAGGGGCTTGAGAAAACCACCCTCCATCAGCGGAATTGTAGATGGCATAGGGAGAGTTAAGGGTTAAAGGCCAATAACTGCCCAGGATAGTCCTTGAAAGGAAAGGGGATCATTACTTTTTTCCTTCAATCACAATAGCACCGGTTGTCTTGCAGGTTGTCCATTCACCAGGACCTACGCAAGAACCCCTGGTAGTGTGGTCAGGATTCCGCTGCTACATAGCACTGTCCGCAGTTCCAGTGTTTTACTGATTTTCTGTATTTGTTTTCAGCCCTGTGCCCTGTAACTTCCTAGAAAATCAGGCTTTATTGCAAATTGGAGCAAAAATCAGTTGTTTCTTTAGAAATGAAACAAACAAACTTTGTTTTTTAAAAACACTGAAAAGCTGTTCAGCAAAACAGTCAAATACAGGCAATTGTTTGCATCCACAAAAAGGTCAGTGGTATGATATGCTGTTGTGTGCTGCCAGGAAGAAATACAGGCTACAATTCACAGCATGACACATGGACTCCTCTGAAAGCCCCTTTAAAGGAACCTGGCTATTTTCTACTGCTAGTGAAGATGCCATTTGTCTTCCATTCCCAATTCAAACCAGAATCTCTGCCCAGCATTATCAGTCCAGGAGGCTTTTCCTTCTAACCTTGCTGGAAGTTCTAATTTGTACATGGGATTCGCCATTAAGACATTTTTAAAATGGAAAATGTACAAAATTTTATGTTTTCAAAATTAAATAGTTTGTTTAATGCCAGATGGACCCAGCACAAACCATTTTGTTTTGTCAAAACAAATTGAAACATTTCATTCAGTTTGACATTAATCTGTGTCTGTTTGAGTTGCTGTGGTACGTCATGGGAGTTGCAGTTCAGGTGCTCCATGCCCCTTTTCTTCTCTATGGGCTGGGCTCCCTGGCTGGACAAGATCTCCTATGGTTAAGGCTGCGTGTCTGTCATGGAAATCATGGACTCCGTTACTCTCCGTGACCTCCATGACTTCTGCAGCAGCTGGTGCTGGCTCAGGGGCTGCCCAGCAGCTCAGCCCCTGGGCCATCAGCAGCAGTCTGGGTGTGGGGGAGGGGGCTCAGGGCTGGGGCAGGGGGTTGGGGTGCACGGCGTCACTTACCTGGAGGGGGTCCCCGGCTCCCATCAGCATGTCCCTGTAGCTCCTAGGCCAAGGGGCTCTGTGCTGCCCGGGGCACCGCCCCCCGAAGCTCCCATTGGCTGCAGTTCACGGCCAATGGGAGCTGCTCAGCTGGCACTTGTAGCGGGAGCAGCAGGCAGAGCCCCCCTGTCCGCCCCTACCTCTAGGAGCTGCTAGGACACATGCAGGCAGGTAGGGAGCCTGTGAGCCCCACCAACCCTCCCCTCCCCTCCCCGCACCAGCAGAGGTCCTGGGCCACGCGCCGCTGCCCACCACCCCGAGCACCAGCAGGGGTCCTGGCCACCCCCTGATTACATGTGGCACCCCCGGAATGCTCCCCCAGAGCACTGTGGCCCCACAGCCCAAGTTTTAGTTAGGGGTATATAGTATAAGTCATGGAGAGGTCACGGGCTGTGAATTTATGTTTACTGACTGTGACCTGTCCATGACTTTTATTAAAAATACCTGTGACTAAAACATAGCCTCACCCATGATGCACCAGTTCAACACAAAAGCATGTGTGAAAATATTGGAATTTTCCATGGCATGGAAATTCTGATTTGTGAATTTACTGGCTTTACTGGCTTGGGCCTAATATTTCTCCTCCTCAGAGCTGGTCTACATTAGAAAAGATGCACTGGTTCAACTAGATTGATTTAAAATCAGTCTAGTAAAACTGGCACAAACCTCAAATGTACATACACTTGAAACAGTTTAACCCTTGCCTAAATTGGTATAGCTTAATGCCACACAAGCTAAAACCCACTTGGATTAAACTGGTTAGCGTTTGTCTACGTTAAAGCTCTGCACTAGTTTAAGTAGATCAATTTAAAATTAATGTAGCTAAACCCGTGCAGCGCTACTAATCTATGAATTTCAGATTTGGTTCACGCTACAGACCTGGGAAAGTTCATGTGTGCAATGGTGATGGGGAAGATATGTCAGAAAACAAGAGCACATAGGTCAGCTTTACACTACAGCATACACCTGGGAGTGGGGGAGTGTTTACTTCACACCTGGTGGCTGGATCAGGTTATATTATTGTGTACAGCTGGGGCTGGAGGAAGGGTTACTCCAAAGATCCCCTAAGAAAATAGAAAGGCAGCTTTTCCTCCAGGGTACCTACTCTCTGGAACACCAGTCTGTTCCCTGAACCAACCCAGTAAAGTAAGAGTGTTTAACAAAGGTCTTTCCTCCTTTCTAATCCATTGGGAGGCCCAATGTTAGATTTCAGGACATTCCAATGAAGTGGTTAAAGCCAATAGAAACAGGAGGGCACAGCTCTCACTGACTAGCCAAAGAGCATGGGGTTTGTGGGGGTGCACTGCTCACTCAATCCAGGAACAAGTGGGGGAGCTCCCCCTCTAATTTTAGCCTAGAGGAAGCTGTGTTCACCCTAATCCACCCCCCTGCACAGCTTCCACCTCCCCTTCCCCATTACTATGTCCATTGTTACGTTGGTTATAAGGCAGCAGTCCTATCCCAGAAAAAGACCTTGTGAACTCAATGGTGTCAGCTAAACAGAGACCTCACCCCCTATGAAGCTGGAGATACATACATAAATATCGGCTCCTGGATTGCATTACTTCCCTTAGAGCTAGCTTAAATGATCCATAACCCCTGTTACTTAAATCCGATGCTGACTTGCCTTGTGGCCATGGCCATATCACCTCCCTCCTCTGTGCTTCAGGTATACCTTCTGTAAACTGGGGATAGGGACTCTTCTCTGCGTGGGGAAATGGAGTGGAGTGTGAAGCTAAAAGGTCAATGTTTGGGAAGCACTCAGATCCCTGGGTAGAAGGTGACAGGAAGAAGAGAGAAGCAATCTGTACCCCTTTCTAAGCAATGCCCCCCTTTGCTCCACACAGCAATAGTGAGGTTGGCTTCTCTCCACCTGGGGCAAATGGATCCTGCACTCAGTGTCGGGGATCCTGCAGAGTGCTGGCAAGAATTTCCACTGGTGCTGGAATTCTGTTGTGTTCTCCTTTCCAATCACTTGGGCTGGTGGGCTTCTCAGCTCAGTCCCGGCATCTTTCTTCCCTGGCAAATAGTTGCCTGTTGCATCTCATTCCTGTTCCCGTGCAAGGCTAGGAATTCATTTCCATTTTCAGCAGCCCCATCAATCTCACCACTTGTCCCTTTCACTAACCCCTAACCCTGAGATGTAAGAGAAATGCCTTCATTTGGATCCTGCCTGTCATTTCCACCCCTCCCCCTTCCCTTTTGACTCCTTATTAGTTCAGATGCTCTTACTCCTCTAATCTTCTTAGCACTCCTCCTTGGGCTCGAAGGTTTACACCTCCCCAGTGCATCTGTCTTTCCCTTGATTGCTTTCTGCATCTCCTTATTCCCCCCGTGGCCTTTCCACTCCTGTGGATTCATTGCTGGGGCTGCTCAGAACCCTCAGCCACCTTCATTTATCTCTGCCAACTTTTCATTTCCTCCCTGTGTCTCCCTTCCCTCACTTGCTTTAGCTCATTCTCTTTTAATCAGACCTTTCCCCAAACATGCTCTGTGGTGAACTCCAGCAACTTTACTATTTTACCCCCTTCCTTGTTTTCCCCTTGGTCCTGATTAGGTTATCACCCCTGGTAACTGAATGGCTCCTCCACCTTTCAAACTCAGCTGTGAAGCTCACCTGCTCATTGAGGGGCCTGAAATCAATGGACTTTCACCAGGAATGAACGGGGCCCTGAGCCTGCAGTAAGGACCCTTGAGTTCAGCTTGCTTTTAGGCTGCTGATACCTGATTAAATGCAGTTTGCAGTCTGGCTCCAACGGCTATTGTGTGCTTAGTCCTTGGCATGGTCTAGCCTGGCAGGATTTGCTTGACACCTTTCTTGCTGTGGGTAAGAGAATGTGCCTCATGCAGCCCTAAAGGCTAGAGCCATGCTTAGTAAGGGCAGTTATCTCCATCTCCACCTACATAGCTGGGTGCAGGAGTCTTCTTCTCCACTGATCTCCTGAGGACAGGGAAAGAGTCATGATCAGGGATTGGCAAACTGTAGCCTTTGTCCCAGCTCCTGCCTGAGGTGGGAAGCAGGAGGGTGAGGAGAGCCGGGCTTCTATTTGAAAGAAACCTTTTTTTTTTTTTTTTTTTTTTTTGTCAGAGAGAGCAGCCAGAGGCAAGTGGGGGCCTGAGAGGCTGAGTGGAAGGTAAGGTTAGAGCACCCAGAGTAACCCAGAGGGAGGGATTACCTAAATCCTGAGGACCCCCACTCTGTCGCTAAAAATGCACAATAATAATAATACCCCAAACTACTCTCCATGAGTTGTGTCCTCAGCTTTGATTGTGAGTCCTTGGAGGGTTCGCAGACTTCCTGCTCTGCAGTCTCTGTGGTGCCCTGCTGTCTCGACCTGCGTGACACTGTATGTGTGAGGGTGTGTGTCTGCCTGGGTGTGTGTTCTGCATCTCAGGAGGTTGGGGTGAGCACAGCAGTGTGTGCATTTGCCATGTGTTTGTAGGGAAGAAGGGCCAGAACTGGGGGGTTGCTACTCACCCGCAAACAGTGTTCAGCCCCTGCACCTTATCCCTGTTGTCCTCCTCGTAGCTGGCCATGTTTTTGCCCAGTTTTAAGACACAGTTGGAGAAGCCTTGGTAAATGTTTTCACATTTAGTTTCTGTGGCCAGTGAGCTGACCAAATACCCTATAAACCAAAAAGGGGATTTATGTAACAGTGTAGCAACCCAGCTCTGAGTCAACCCAGTAAGGTCACCTCCCATAGACTTCCCCACAACTGCTAGCATGGGCTGTGGGAAAGGAGGCCACGTTCTCTGAAGGGCTACATACATGGAAACGCCTGCATAAACCAGTGGGCAAACTGGGCGAGCTTATGGCAGCTATTTCATGGGCGCTGCCATCTTGTGCTTCACAGTCTCAGCATAAAACAAGCCTCTCGAGCCCTCATCACTGCAAAGAAACTTGTTTCAACACATGAACCATGTGTAAACAATGCAGTGATATGTGCCCGGGTTTGCAGGCAGCCTGCAGTAGTAGCTATGAAAAGGGGAACTGCTCATATTCATTGTGATGGGACTTTAGCAGTGAAGCCTAACAATGATGATTTAAATAGCAATGTTAACTCTTTCACTGCTGATCACAGCTGGAAAAAAAAGAGGGAGAATCATATTAGGAAGCTTGGCATAAGCTACAGCAATACTTCATTTTAGTGCTTTAGGTGGGCAGGGCTTGGTTTGTGGGAAGAGCTAGGGGGAGTGCCCTCCCCTACACAGATATCGTTCCATCCCTGGAATAAATATGAAAAAAAGAAAAGGAGTACTTGTGGCACCTTAGAGACTAACCAATTTATTTGAGCATGAGCTTTCGTGAGCTACAGCTCACTTCATCAGATGTTTACCGTGGAAACTGCAGCAGACTTTATATACACACAGAAATCATGAAACAATACCTCCTCCCACCCCACTGTCCTGCTGGTAATAGCTTATCTAAAGTGATCAACAGGTGGGCCATTTCCAGCACAAATCCAGGTTTTCTCACCCTCCACCCCCCCACACAAATTCACTCTCCTGCTGGTGCTAGCCCATCCAAAGTGACAACTCTTTACATAATCAAGTTGGGCTATTTCCTGCATAGATCCAGGTTTTCTCACATCCCCCCCACCCCCATACACACACAAACTCACTCTCCTGCTGTTAATAGCTCATCTAAACTGACCACTCTCCAGGTTTAAATCCAAGTTAAACCAGAACATCTGGGGGGGGGGGGGGTTAGATAAGCTATTACCAGCAGGACAGTGGGGTGGGAGGAGGTATTGTTTCATGATTTCTGTGTGTATATAAAGTCTGCTGCAGTTTCCACGGTAAACATCTGATGAAGTGAGCTGTAGCTCACGAAAGCTCATGCTCAAATAAATTGGTTAGTCTCTAAGGTGCCACAAGTACTCCTTTTCTTTTTGCGAATACAGACTAACACGGCTGTTCCTCTGAAACCTGTCATTATGAAAAAAAGGAATCATTAACATTCTCTGTTCTGCTGGGAAGGGAAAAATGCACTTTTTAGCCCTTAGTAAACAGGGTCTCTTCTTGTTAAAAATCAGTGGACTCAGTGATGACACAAAGTGGGGATCTGTTCCCATTCCAGCCCCCAGTGAATCCCATTCTGCCCAAAGGGGGGGATAGCAAGAAGAATGACCAAGAATTCAAATCTGCACTGCCCCTTTTTTTGATCCCTGTGGGATATTTCCCAAGCCCTCTGTGCCCAGGATTTCAGGAAGAAGGTTTCTCATGGATGAGTACTGAGATAAAGTTTGCAGACAACACAATAACTGGGAGTGTGGTAAATAATAAAGAGGACAGCTCTCTAATACAGAGCAACCAAGATCGCTTGGTAAAATGGATGCAAGCAAACAGTATGCATGTGAATATGGCTAAATGTAAAGGTATTCATCTAGGAACAAAAAATGTAGGTCATACTTATAGGATGAGGGAATCTACCCTGGGAAGTCGTGACTGAAAAATATTTGGGGGGTTGTGGTGGATAATCAGCTGAATATGAGCTCCCAGTGTGACACCATGGTCAAAAGGACTAATGCAGTCCTTAGATGCATAAGAGTACAGAGGTTATTTTGCCATTCTTTTTGTTAAGTTAACAAATTGAGGATTAAGGGGTGACTTAATTAGTCTAGTCTATAAGTACCAATATGAGGAACAAATATTTAATAATAGGCTCTTCTGTCTAGCAGAGAAAGGTCTAACAGGATCCAATGGCTGGAAGTTGTAGCTAGACCAATTCAGACAGGAAATAAGGCACACTTTTAACAGTGAGAGTAACTAACCATTGGGACCATTTACCAAGGTATGTGGTAAATTCTCCATTCCTGACCATTGTTTAATTGATTGGATGTTTTCCTAAAAGCTCTGCTCTGGGAACTCTTTAGGGGAAGTTCTCTGGTCTGTGCTATACAGGAGGTCAGATAATGATCCCAATGGTCCCTTCTGGCCTTGGAATCTAGGATTCATGGGAGCGAAGAGGCTGCTCTGGTGACAGATGCTTAGTTTATTGTGTCTCTATTGTGTGCCCCTCCCTCTGTGACCCGTGAGAGGAGATCCTATTCCTGGCTAACCAAGCAGCCGGGCTCAGAGGGGAATGACATCCTCCGTGCCCAGTCCCATGGAAAGGGGACTTCTGTGCCCCAGCTCAGAGCGGCTGAAATGCAGCCAGCTCCGCATTCCACGGCAATTGCAACCCACTCACTCCCCCAGCAGGAAGGGCCCGGGGGAGGTTCCCGCCCCCTCTGCTCCCCTGCCCAGGCTGGGCTCGGGGTTAAGATGGGAAGGGCCATCGGCTGCCCCCGGAGGTTGGCCCGTCACATCCAAGGATGAGCTCGGGAAAGCTGCAGCCAGGGTCTGGGCGATGGATGTAACTCGCGGGCCGCTCGCCCCCCTATCCACCCTCCCAGGCGGAAGCCGAGGGAAAAGCCGCCCCCGAGGGCAGCCTGGGCTGGGGACGCCTGCGGGCTCCGGGCGCGCCGGGGCAGCCCCGCAGCTCAGCGCCAGGGGGCGCCACCCCGCCGGGGCGGTGCCGGCCCCTGGCTCGGCTGCCCCCCAGCGGGACCCTGCCCTATTGCTGGGGGCCCGGTCCCTGCCCTGGCTCCCCCGTGTGTCCTGGGCGACCCGGGCTGCCCGTTCCTTACCTAGCGTGAGGAGGAGCAGCAGCACCGTGCCCAGCCTCTGGCCCATCGCCTCCTCCGGCGGCCTCGCCCCTCAGGGGCTCCGGCGCGGCTCCGTGCCCGGGGTCAGCGGCAGCCCCCCGCTGCCAGGGCAGTTCATGGTCCTGAAGACTCCGCGATCGCTCTTCCCGCTTCCCCGAGCCCCGCCCGGCTCCAGCCGCCTCTCAAGCCCTTTGCATTTCCCCGGGGGTTCTCCCCCTGGCCGCTCGGTCCCTGCAGTGTGATGCCCCCGCCCCCCAGGGCAGCTTCCAGGGGGTTGGGGTACCCCGCGGGGAGTCCACCTTAACACCTAGCCATGGGAAGCCCCCTTCTTCCTGATCCTGCAGAGCTGGGCGGCTCAGGCATCTGGAGAGTTCAGCTCCTTCTCCAACCCCTTCTCCTCCCCCAGCTGCCTGCCCCTCCCATAGCCCCGCCATCCCCACACCTGTCTCCGGATGGAGAGGAATAGCCAGAGCCCGTGTGAGCGCTGAGCTCAAGGGACGGAGCGGGGGGTGTAGGAAATACTGGGGAGCGGTATTAATAGTCTCACGCACATACGCCCCCCAAAATCGATCCCGGGTGAAGCGCAGGTGGAACTGGCTTCTTGCAGGTTCTGTGGAGAGGGACTTGGCATCAGAAGACCCTGGAAAGTGCATTAGTTCCCAGCCTTGGGCGTTCTTAACAATCCTCACCCTTTCTTCTGCCCCTGCCCAGACTGATGTGGCCCCTCCTGGCGTCTCCAGCGGGTGGCATGTTGGACTTTGGCTTCCAGAGCATGGGCAGCAGGAAACTTCTCCAAAGATCAGCACTGGGAGCCACCTAAGAATGGTCCGGAGGAGAGACTCAGGAGAAAGGTATTGAATATAGGGGTCTTCTGTGGTCACGCTACCTAGCACTTGGGTATACACCCTTACAAACCTGGTGTAAGGTGTAACCTGGTGTACAAACACCTGGTGGCACACACAAACACCCCCCATGTATACACACGCTGACACTCCCTTACAAACATACAGATCCCATCTCTCTCTCTCTCACACAGGCAAACACTCCCTTACAAACATACAGATCCCATCACACACACACTCCCAAACACACACAAACACTCCCTTACAAACATACAGATCTCATCATGCACACACACTCCCAAACACGCACCCGCACACACAGAAACACCCCAGTCACCCACACCCACCCTACTTCTCCCTCCCTGCACCCTTCCCCTCACGTTCACAGGTAGGCGCATGGGGCTTCATGCAGACTGTGGAAGGAATTTTTTGAGCCACCAACTGTTGTATGAAAGGAGAAGAGGAGCTCCCTGTAAACATGTGCAAAACCACTTCTGTCCTCCTTCAGATCTTTCCTTAAAACTCTCATTTGCCCTGATGCATACAACATATTTGACAAAAGTTAGGGTGCTGGTGTGCCGAGACCACTGCCTGCCATGCTGACCAGTATTGTAGGTCTCATTGTCCGTACTGCCCTGTCTGTCTGTATCCATCTGATGGCTCTCATTTTAGTCTTATATTATAAGCTCTTTGGGGCATGGACTTTTTGTACTGTGCTTGTACAGCACCAAGCACAATGGGATTCTGGCCCATGTTTGCAGCTCCTTGGTTGTACTGCAATACAAATACATAGAAACAGTAATAATTATGAACCGAAGAAATCCGAACACTCCGCAGCAGCAGGGAACTGCCATGTGAGGTTCTCAGTTAAGTATACAGGGCAGCAAAGCCAGAGGCAGGAAAGGGAGCTAGAGGGAGGAGCAGTGATTGAAGCATGGAGGTGGCAAGGGGTATAGGAGACTAAGGGCCCGATCCAAAGGGAGTCTACTGACTTCAACAAACTTCAGGTCAGACCCTACTAGAAAAACCATCCGGGCTGATAACCTGCCACCTGATCTAGAATGACCAATGGACACAAGGATCAAACTCCAAACACACTGTGTGACCCAGCCTGCGCAGGCGGTGCCCACTCCAACCTCCACCTGAGGTGGCTTGTCTTTTTCCCTTGGGCTTGGCCACGCTTGGGTAACTTACCACGCCAATTGATTTGAATTGCAATGTAAAGTCCTAGCGCCATCTGCTGGCCTCTTCTCATATGTTTTATGTTGAAAGAGATTAGAAAGTTGAGGAAATGCAAGTGCCCGTTTTCTATGGAGATTGTCACTGTTTTAAAAGCCTCTGCAAATGTTTATGTAAAACAAAAACAATGGAAGTGGGTCTGCACTCATAAGCAACCTACGGTAACAAACTTTTGCTTTCCCTTGATGCCAATAGCATGGGCTAGGCAGCTGTGACCACTGTTTATCATGCTGACCAGTACTGTTGCATTGTTTCCTTGGGCTCACCCTGTTTATCACATCCACCTGTTGTCTCTTGTCTTAAACTTAGATTCTAAACTCTTTGGGCAGGGACCACTTCTTTGTACAGCGCCTAGCACAATGGGGCCCTGATCCATGGCTGGGGTCCCCAGGAGCTAACTCAATACAAACAAACAAACAAATAATAATAATAAACCAGTGTGTGCAGCCCAGCCCTTATAAGCAACTCTACAATAACAAATTGTTTATGTATTTATTTGTTAAAAATGATTCTTTAGCACCCCAAGTTTTATACACAATCATTCATAATGATTCATAATTCATATATTCATAACTCAGTGATCTCTCAGGGTCTAGGTGATTTTTCCTGGAGACCTGTGGGTTAGGTCCCAATCCTGAAAAAACTTGTGCACATGCTTAACTTTGTGCACTGTAAGTAGTTCCATTAACTTAATTGAAGTAAATGACGTTAAGCACATGTGCTTAAAGTCTTCGCAGGATCAAGGCCTTAGCTGTTATCACAGAAATAAATCTTCCCATGCTAAACCTGCCCACAGTTGTTTCCATCACCCTAACCTGCGTGTGTTGGGGGATTACACACCATTTTGCATATCTAGGGCCTGCTTTTGCATCTGCTCTTGCTTACATTAGGCTCTATTGATGTGAGTGGGGGTCACTTTCCAGTTACACTGGTGGAAATGAGAGCAGAATCTAATCTTTGCCCACACGAGCTCTTTCCTGCCCACTTTGATGACATCACTTCATGGTCTGGGAGTGTCACAGGTCAGCCTCTGTGACATCACATTGCTGTATGTTTCACTTGTTACTATAACCACATTAACCCTGCCTGTGACCAGTGTCAAGGCCTTCTGGAAGTTGAAGATGGGCACAGGATTGTGTCGTTTTCTATTCCCTCCTGGATCTGTGGATTAGGGAAAATGAAAGCTCTTTGGGCCAAGGATGTCCCAGGAAATGCCCTTCCTCCTGACCCAGACAGAAGAACCCTCCATGGATGGAGATCATAAAAATGACCTTCTGCTAGGACTGTTCGTTTAGGAGAAGGAACTCATTTGCTGGTAAACTATTGAGCTCCTCTTTGGGTTTCATTTAAAGGTAGCATAATGAGCTAAATCCATCCCTGAAATAATGCCATTGACTTTAGTGGAGTTACAAAGTTACAACTTTGGGGGATTAAAGTGACCTATTATAGTGAGTAGATGTTCAAGTGATTGTACAAAAGAGGCAAAATCAAATTCCTTGTCCACATGCAAGTATCCTCAATAACCAGAGTGTCCATTGCAGCCCACTCTTCAGAGATCTGCATTGCTGTGAATGCAAGTGAGGTGGAAACTACTGCTTTGGCCACCTTTGGCAAACTCAATCCAATCGGCTCCAACTTTGACACATGCCAGAGACACATTTCGTGTCTGAAGGATGCAGATTATTCCCTTTATTTGTAGAATTATGGATCAGTGCATCACTCAGCTGATCTTTCTCTTGAAACCTCATTTCAGTCTCTGCCCAGCTCAGAACATCTGCAAGCCCTGAAAGGAAAACAAACATCAGTGCTGTTTCTCTAGAGAGAAGTATCATCGAGTGCAGTGATTGGGGCTTCTCGAGGCTGAAACACCAACCCACAGCAAGAGGGTAGCTGTTTATCTGCCTTGGAATCTGCATGCTTCATGCTGGGACTGAGCTAATGTGGATGATAATTATATACGTCATAATCCTATTAGTGTCGATGGGAATGATGGGACTTCATCAAAGGGGGGAAGGTCCTGTTAATGAGTGGTGACCTCCTCCATGGGGAGGGAATGTATTATGTTAGGCGCGATGTGTTACCCACAATCAAGGAGAACAGACTTCGAATGTGAGCCCTTCACGGCAGGGATCGTCTTTACTAGACTGGCAAAGTGCCCTGTGTATGTACGGTTCATAGAATCATAGAATATCAGGGTTGGAAGGGACTTCAGGAGGTCATCTAGTCCAACCCCCTGCTCAGAGCAGGACCAATCCCCAACTAAATCATCCCAGCCAGGGATTTGTCAAGCCTGACCTTAAAAACCTCTAAGGAAGGAGATTCCACCACCTCCCTACGTAACCCATTCCAGTGCTTCACCACCCTCCTAGTGAAAAAGTTTTTCCTAATATCCAACCTACACCTCCCCCACACAACTTGAGACCATTACTCTTTGTTTTGTCATCTGGTACCACTGAGAACAGTCTAGATCCATCCTCTTTGGAACCCCTTTCAGGTAGTTGAAAGCAGCTATCAAAAAGTTGAAAGCAGTTATCATATATAATGAATACTCAGTTAAGAATAGGACCAACTGGTGACCTGGATCAGGCACTGCTGTTATTGGGAATAACCTCATCAAAGAATTCATGGAGACACCTACAAGCTCTGCACTGGATTAACCCAATTTGTCCTGCCCCGTCTGTGCTGAGTGGCTGAGACAAGAGTGCCTAGCTATGGAAGGAAAACAGGAAAGTATTAAAAGTGGCTTCGGGGCACAGGCTCTTGCTTGTATTGCTAGCATGGCTGGGTTCAAATCCCTCTGGCACCATGGCTGGGGGAGTGAAAATTCTAGGTGCTTCAATACTGTGGTGAGGAGTGGGGTATAAGAACCTATAGAAGAGGGGGCCCTGCATGCTAGTCCCCCTGCCGCTTGTTTTGCTGCTACATAGATGTTTCCAGGTTAGGTCCCTCATTCAATCTCCAGCTTCTCAGGGCCATCAAGGTGGGGGTGGGAAGCACCTCTGGCCATTGGCAGGGTTTAGAAGGATCCAGCCTGGCTAGGGGAGAGAAAGTCGCAGTGACTCAATGTCTAGGAGAGAAAATTACAGGGGGATGCCAGAGATTTTCTCTTCAGTCAAAAGCCAGCACCAGGAAGCTTACAGGGAGCAGACACTGTCACTCCTGGTACTGGATGGTGAGAGTGTGCTCCAGAGTCTCGCCACAGGACCGAGTGCAGCAGGGTTTGATCCATCGCTGGGTCGCAGGTCTACAGAGCACTTTGGGA